TTAGACTTCGGTGTATTTCGATTGTGGCGCGACGACAGCGCCGCTACATTTAGTATTGTGACAATGTTTTTTTATATATTTTATGATGATAAACACAAAACTTTAACCTTGTTTATTGCACACGGATAACTTGTATATTTTCTGAAACTTTGGTTTGTTTCTCTTTATAAAAATAAAATTTGGCATAAGTTATTCTTTTATTTATTTAATCACATCCGGTTTCATTCCTGATTCCAGCAAGTAAATCATAGAAACAGAAACAGAAACTTTTTATTCAATGTAGATTATAACAATACTTATTGAAAGTCACTTTTTTAATTTACTACTGGTTCGCAAAAAAAAAAACCTCTGTCCTGGAAAGAACCAGCAAGAAACCCAGCGGGACTATTTTTTTTCCAATAATAACTTACAATCATGTTTACAATTAACAACACAAGACAAATTAGAAATAGCTTTGTAGCGATCACCCTTCCCAGGGGTTATTATCATCTATAAATTCCTTAATATTATAATAACCCTTTTTATACAAACTTAGTTTAATAACATTTTTGAACTTTGTGTATGACAAATTTTGTATATTTTCTGGGATTTTGTTGTAAAAGCCCAAGTACATTGCCCCAAGAATGAGTTACTGACTCGATGGAGTCGAGTAACTGGTACTACTAGCTTGTGTCTGCTCCTAGTATTTACAGAATGAATATCACTTATTTTCGCAAAACTACTTTTATTTTCGCGTACGTACATTACATTTTCATAAATGTATTGAGAGGCCAGAGTTATTATATTGATTTCCTTAAATTTTTGGCTCAGTTACTCTTTTGGTTTTAAATTATATACTACTCTAATGGCCCTCTTCTGCAAAATAAATATAATTTCAGTGTCAGTCGCGTGTCCCCATAATAAAACACCATACGATATAATGCTATGGAAATAACTAAAGTAAACTATTCTAGCTGTTTCAACACTGGTAAGAGTTCTAATCTTTTTTACAGCATATGCTGCAGAACTAAGTCTGCTAGCTAGTTTTGATATATGGGGGAGCCATTAAAGCTTTGCGTCCAGTGTGATTCCAAGAAAAATGGTGGTATCAACAAGACTCAGTTCCTCCCCATTTAAAATTACATTAGTATTGACGTGTTTGACATTAGGAGCGACGAATTTCATACATTTAGTTTTAGTTCCAGTCAAATGCAAATTATTAACATTAAACCAATTGACTAACTTAGCTATAGCATTATTTACTTCGTCGTAATTTAATAACTGTCGTTTTAATTTGTAAATTAATGAAGTATCATCAGCAAATAATGCTATATCATGGTTATACCCCACTATGTAAGGTAAGTCATTAATATATGTAAGAAACGGAAAGGGGCCGAGAATTGAGCCCTGAGGCACGCCCATTTGTACAATCTACCCGGAAGATCTCATACTATTGATGATAACTTTTTGCGTTCTGTCACTTAAATATGAAATAATTAATTTAACAGCATCGCTTATTACACCGTAGTGTTGAAGTTTCCTGATTAATGTTTCATGGTGAATACAATCGAAGGCTTTGGATAGGCCACAGAACACACCCAAACCATCCTGTGAATTCTCCCATTCATTAAACATATATTTAATGAGCTTAACACCAGCATCAGTTGTCTATGTCTATAATATGATAACTCTGACTCGGTACTGAACTTTGTGGCTGTTACAGTTGTTTGTGGGGCTACCAATAAATATAATTCGTAATTTAATATTATATGAATATTATACAAAAAACTAAACCTAAATCTCTAAGTACTATATCTAATTAAAAGACAACATTTGGGCCACGAATTTTATCCCTAATACCTCTAAATGGTCGTTTCTTACTTAAATGTTTCGGTGTGTAATTTATGTTAAGTAGAAGATACAAGTACATTCTACTATGTTCTCTAATGATAGCTCAAACTAAGAAATAGATTGATTTACATCTATTCATGTGTAGTCTAAAACCTAAAGCTACTAGCATCTGCTGTTGCATCTTTTTTCATATCCTTGACAATGACAACTAAGCTTTGACAAGCTTTTTTTGCCGCAATACTACCAAAGTCTTACCAAGAAGCGTTTAGGCTTTAAAAGAAGGATCGCTGATTTACAATTTATCGAAGCCAATGGATTTTTTTTTCAATACAATTATCCAAATGGATTGTTGTATAAAGCCTTTTTAAAACGTAACAATTTGATTATCTCTTTAATTACAATTCCTAATTAGTCCTCACTGAATAACGAGAAAGTAATAAAATCGACAACGTAATTTAGATAAATTAATTTGGCTGTCCCGAATGCCGAAAGTAAAAAATTTTAAACTCGCGTCAGGACACGTGACCCTGATCGAAAATTCGTAAGACGGATGGAGAGAGAGAGAGACAGCCAGCGCGGCTTAGGAGAGGAAGTATCCCCCTCTCTTTCTAGGGCGCGGCAAAAATTTGCACCTGCGCCTGCTGTTTCGTTTAGGCGGCGCAGGGCGCTTGCGCGAATTTTCGTGTGTGACAAAGACCTATATAACCACTTGACTGCGCATACAATGTCCTGATGCTCGAAAACTATTAGTATTTTGTCGTCTATGCATAGGCTATGGCCTATGGTACTATTAACCATTTCAGTGTTGTCCAAGTGTTAGACCTGTGTGCACGCTAAATTAATGTAAAATTTTATAATTTTTATGCAATTATAATGCATCAAAATGCCTTCATGGGCGGTGAAGTGGTGTGGGAAACATTCCAGGACAGATGTTCAAAAAGAATGGAGTAAATTTTCATTGCAATGTCAAAAATACGAAAATTATTGTTGATTAATTCAGATTGTGAGCCACCGCAGGGGTCTATGTAAAACGGTGGCCGTGTAAATGATGACATGGTTGAGTCGCACGTTGTTGTCTTTTGGAAAAGTCTCGTTCTATTATTAGACAATTCTAATGCTTCTATCCCTTTCTTTCCCTTTGTATGTTTATCGTAAACATTAGTACTTACTGTTACCTTTAATAGCTGAAAGTCGATATCGAAAATAGTTAAATTAAAATAAATAAAAAGATTATTCAATTCACTCACTGTGAAAAAATGCTTATCCACTTTTAACCGTCTTCAGAAAGCGGAGGAGATTCTCAGTTCGTCGGTATTTTTTCCTAGTTAAAGTTTATAGTTACCTAGTTAAATTAGTCAGATTGGTGTACCAAATCAGAACGCCTTACAATTTCAAAAGGACATTAAAGACAAGTTATTGTACGGATCCACTACAGTAATAGATATTTGTCGTCGTTGTAAAATTTTCAATAAGAGGGCGATCAATGAGAGTGGTTCATAAGTGCTGTCTTCGAAATATAATACCAATTATTTTATAAGATCGGTTTTCTTCTCTGATTGGGTATTATTGATTCCCGGATATTTATTGTCATCAATTTGAAATAGAATCAACAAACAATTTAATAGAATTAGCAAGATATATAAGTTACAAATATGTAGACGCTTGTTTATATTTTTTACAAAGAACAATCAGGACCCTTAAACTTTAATTCGAAATAAATATAACAAATTAATTCCTTTTAAAAATCAATAATAATATAATAAATATATATTTTGTTATAACTGATTGATTTTGATTAAATATTATTTCTATGATTTTAATAGAGTATTTTTATGACGATAAAATTCCATTTCGAATCGAATCGAATATTTTCCTTTATTAAGAAGAGCAACCCTAACGACAGCCATAACAACGCAACTTGACCATTTGCAGCCGCGCGTTCTTCCTCGTCCCCCGGCCCGCAGTAGTGAGTATTGTGCTTAGAAGAAATCTGCTTATACGCTCTCTAGTGGTTATATTCTCTATGGAGTGTGATAATTAAAGCAATTCATGCAAAATAATTCCCTAATCATTCCAAAGTATAAAAAACGCACAACGTTAATATTCAAGTTTTCACTTCTGCCGGCAGTCCCGGAGTGCAACCCGTCGTTTTTTTAAGGCTTTAAAACTTGAACACTTTTTTAATTCTCTGAGTCACTTACGTTGCTTCTTTCTTTAAATGGTAATTTGTGATCGATTGTTTTGATAGTTTAAGTATTACGTGTGGATTGGTATCGATTATTATTTAAATCCATTTGCAATATTAACAATAGGGGAGTTTACTTGAAAACATATTGCTAGTCTTTAAAACTGAATTTAACGATTTAGTCGTTAGTTAGGATGTAGTTTTTGAAGATGTGCTAAGTTTTTATTCAACTTATTAAGCCTGGCTTTCCCCGGAAACTCTTTTCAGTGAATACGATTATTATACAGAGTAGCAGGGAAAATCCACTGTATCGAATGAATGAAATTGTTCTATAAATAATGTTTATATATTATGCCGTGTAGTGGTGGTGTAAGAATATTCACAAGCCAACATCGTCCCGTGGATGTGTTATCTCTATTATCTAGATGTTAGTGCTGTTAGTCTGTGCGACTCTAACAGCTTCATCTGTCTCAGGGCTTGCAGGCCGCGAGCTGGATGTATTAAAAGGTGACAGAGGAAAACAAACTACAGCCAGCAGTGTCTTCCTGATAACAACTGGAAAATTGAAAAAAAAAACGGTTGCCAACCCACCTGCCAAGCTTTATAGCTATGGAAAATATTCTTCTTAAAAGGGAGGCCTATGTGCAGTAGTGGTCTTTGATTGGCTGTAATGATGATAATAAGGTTATTTTGGCTCGTGTAAAATGTCTACAGTGTTATTTTGTTGTCGTTATTAAACATACTGAGATTTGATTATGATTATTTTAGGTCACGTTTTAGTACAGTATAATCTCACTAATCCGGCACTTCGATAGATCGGCACGTCCAATAATCCGGCACCCTCCGCCTACGCCTCCCTCGCCCCTCTATACCTGTGCGCTTCGGTCGCTGCGTCATCGACGAGCAGTCTAACCTCAAAACTTATCACGTGCACGTGCTTACGTATTTGTTTTTTTTTCCAAGTGAGAATAGTTTATAGTTAAAAATGTCAAATAAACGCAAACACAAGACACTAGATTTGAATAATAAAATGGAGATTTTAAAGAAGTTAGATAGTGGAGAAAACATGTGCAAATTGGCAAAAGAATATGGTGTTGGGCGTGCTACTATACACGATCTTAAGAAAAAAAGGCAAAAGATAGTAGACCACGTCAAGACAATGGAATCGGGGCCAGGAAAGCGTAAAACACTAAAAGTTGGCGATTGTCCAAAGATGGAAAACGCTCTTTACATGTGGTTCTTGCAACGGCGTTCTAAACACACTCCTATATCTGGAGAAATTCTGAAAACCAAAGCAATCGAATTTTATAAAAAAATTACCCACAAAGATGATTTTCGTGCCAGCGATGGATGGCTGGATAAATTTAAAAAGCGATTTGATATCCGTCTCTTAACAGTATCGGGTGAGAAATTATCAAGCGACGAATCTGCAGTACAGCCATTTATCCAGCATTTCAAAAACAAAGTAGAAGAACTGGGTCTTCTTCCTGATCAAATCTATAACGCAGATGAGAGTGGTCTGTTCTGGAGACTGTTGCCCAATAAAACATTCGTGTCTTCTACAGAAGCAAGTGCACCAGGTCGTAAAGTGAGTAAAGACAGAATCACATTCATGCCGTGTTCAAATGCTACTGGAACGCACAAATTGGATTTATTAGTGATTGGCAAAGCAAAAAAATCCCAGAGCTTTCAAGAACATTTGTCTGCCAGTCTGTTACAAGAACCAAAGTAGAAGTTGGGTCACGAGAGAGGTATTTAGCGAATGGTTTCATAAAGACTTTGTCCCAGAAGTAAGAAAATTTATGAAAAGATCTAACTTGCCCATAAAAGCTTTACTCGTACTTGACAATGCTCCAGGCCACCCAAACGAACAAGAACTTAAATCAAGTGATGGGAATATCCAAACCATCTTCTTACCATCAAACTGCACACCTTTACTGCAGCCGATGGATCAAAACGTTATCCAAAAAATAAAGTCTTTGTATAAAAATAAATTGCTGATCCATATTATATCTCAGGATGGTGATATAACGCAGAGCCTTAAAGGAATGAATTTGAAGGATGTTGTATTCTCTCTCGCTCATGCTTGGAAGTCTGTTTCATCTAACTTAATCCAATCTTCATGGAAAAAGTTATGGCCCACAATGAATGATGTATCAGAAACAGAAGAAACAGATGAATGGGATCCTGAAGATAATATGCCTATTGTCGATTGGTTAAAAAATCTATCAGAAAAAGGATTGGAGACAAGTGAGGAAAATTTAAATTCTTGGTTTGAAGGAATCGAAGAAACAGAGCAAATTATGACAGATGAAGAAATAATATCTGAAGCAGTACAAGAAGAAAGCTTTGTAGAAATATTAGAGCCACCAACTACTACAACTGCTATAAGAGTTAAACCAGATAATGCATTGATGTGTTTCAATACGTGCATAACATGGGCAGAAGAAAACGGCATGTCTGCCAAAGATATTATAATTCTTCGCAACATGCGAGAAAAGGTTTTTAAGCAAGGACTACAAGTTGCACAAAAGCAGACCTCAATTAAGGATTATTTTAAAACTACATAGTTAATCACATATGTACCTACATGTTAATCGAATACATTACATACATTGACTCCCTCTATGAAATACTTTATTTTATTCTTTACCTATGACTTTTTCACTATAATCCAATAATCCGAACATTCCAATAATCCGGCACCCTCCGGTTATTAATAGTGCCGGATTAGTGAGATTATACTGTAGTGGTAAAAAATTGAAAATCATTTTTTTAAATTTTTAGAACATTTACATAATATTTAAATATATAAAATAAACATTGTGGCGTGGTAGAGCCACGCTGCAGCTATATTATGCTTGTAGCACGAATGGGTCGGCTCGACCGGCGAGAGACCACGGTCTCACAGAATACTAGCGTAAAATAGCAGCTTAATGTTGCTGTGTTTCGTGTGGTGAGTGTAGAGAACCGAAGACCAGTGTTACTGGAATCGAGGCACTCCATCTTAGTTCTCAAGGGTGACAACGCATCTGCATTTCGATTCTTAATCAAACAAAAATCTTAATAAAAAAAAACTAAAGCTAAAACTTGAATTATTATACAGTGCTATCGTGTCAAGAATGCTGGGTGCGTTACTTATATTATACTTAGCCTTTAAGTGACCCGGTAACCAGCCCTCCTATCACAGCAGCAATGACCAGTCGCGGATGCAGTTTCTTTAGGAAATTCTTCGCACGTGAACCCACGGACAAATAGTCTCTATAGCAAATTGCACAAATATATTATAATCATTTTTCAGAAACTCATACTTGAGCCACTTACATTGTTTTACTGCGACTGATGCCACTCCGGCTCTATACAAAGGCCTGAGATGAGAGGCTGCCAAAGTGTCTACGCAAGTATCATCCCACACTAGGGGTTTACCTATCTCCCAACGAACCAACGTCATATCGTTGGGTCTCCTGCTATCGTCTATAAATATTAAATAAGCTTATAAAACCAAGGGAACAGTTACATAGAAGAGAGGCCTTACAAGAAAGTCCGTGGAGCCTAAAATTGTCGACAATGTTACCAAAAGGGCACTGATGAGGTACTTAAGAAAAATTGGCGGAATCATTATTCCGTTCTCCGTTTACTCCTAAACCAGAAAGATTTAAATTTATTTTTCACTATCAAAATAAGACTGCATTGACTGTCTAGGAGTAATTTTAGAAGGTTCCTGGTTTATTTGAATAATTAATCTATAAATTTAAATAAAATTGAAGTAAGTAAGTTTGCCGTATAGTAGAGGTTGAGAATATCCACTACCCCATATCTTTCCGTGGGTGTCGTAAGAGGCGACAGAGGGACACAGAAAGAATATGGGCAGCAGCATCTTCCTAAAAACAACAATAACATAATAAAAAACTGCTGTTACCAACCCGCTCGCCAAGCGTGGCAACTATGGCAAATATCCCCCCCATGAGCAACGACGCAAACAAACGGCCCCCAGTCCCCGGCGGCCCCGCTATTCCTGGCTACGGTGGCGACCATGGTAACGGGGGGCAGGGGGTGCTAAGAATCTCCAGTAGAGGTTCAGTTGCCACCTACGACGACTCGACCTGGCAACGTATAACGCACGCAACCTGAGGACTGACGAGAAGATACTGGAGCTGGAAGAAGAGGTAGACAAGTTACGCTGGCATATTATTGGATTATCTGAGGTCCGAAGAGAGGGGGAGGACATGGTAATCCTCGAGTCCGGCAACTTGTTCTATCACCGGGAGGGCGACCATCTGTCCCAAGGTGGTGTCGGATTTATCGTCCACAAGTCTCTCGTCAACAACATTGTAAAGATTGAGAGTGTGTCGACGGGTGCCTTAATTCGACTCCGAAACCCACTATACGGTGTTGATGGGAGACTTCAACGCAAAACTAGGCACAAGAGAAGGCGGTGAGCTGAAGTTATGGAAATTTGGAGTAGGGCAACGGAACCGTAGGGGCCAGCAGCTAGCCGACTTTATGGAGAAAGAGGGACTCTTCATGATGAACTCTTTCTTCCAGGAGCGGCCCCACAGGAAGTGGACCCGGTCGAGCCCCGACGGCTCGACAAAAATGAGATTGACTTCATTATGATGACCAGACGCCAACTGTTCAGTGATGTCTCAGTGATCGCAAGGGTGAAAACCGGCAGCGATCACCGAATGGTTAGAGGCACACTGAACCTAAACGTTAAGTTGGAGAGGTCTCGTCTAATGAAGTCAACGCTCCGTCCCTCTCGTGCTCTTATCCAGAATCCCGAAACCTTTCGGCTCGAGTTACGTAACCACTTTCAGTGCCTAGAAGATTGCAATGCAGTGGACGATATGGATGACAAGCTCGTGGAAACTGTCCATGCGGTCAGAGCTAAGTTCTGCAAGACCCGCCGCAGAAGAACACAAAAACTCTCCGATCACACTCTTAATCTCATGGCTGTTAGACGGGAGATGAGGCTGCAATCGTCAGCAGATTTGACAGCGTACAGACAACTGAACAGACAGATCTCCAAATGCATGCGGCGAGACTTACGCAACTTTAATACTGCTCGTATTAAAGAAGCGATCGAGCGCATCCAGGGCTCCAAAGTTTTTGCCAGAGATCTGTCTGTCAGAAAGAGCCAACTGTCAAAGCTGAAGACTGAGTGTGGCAGCATCGTTTTCGGGACACCTGAGATTTTGAGTGAGATTGAGAGGTTCTATGGGAAGCTATACACATCACCGTTGGAGCCACACGCAAGTGTGAGTAACGATCCAAGAGCAAGTCTTACCCGACACTATTACGATGATATCCCGGACGTTAGTCTGAGCGAGATTAGAATGGCTCTCCAGCACCTTAAAAACGGCAGGGCCCCAGGTGAGGATTTCCATCCTTCCATAATTCCTTACAGCGGAGCTTCTGAAAGCGGGTGGAACGCCGGTACTTGACGTCCTTCAGAAGCTTTTCAATTCCGTCCTCTATGGTGGCACTACTCCGGAGGCGTGGAGCAGAAGTGCGGTGGTCTTATTCTTTAAGAAAGGCGACAACGCTCTCTTGAAGAACTACAGACCGATTTCCCTTATGAGCCGCGTCTACGTGCTGTTTTCGAGAGTCATTACGAATCGTCTCACACGCAGACTCAACGACTTCCAGCTTCCCGAACAAGCCGGTTTCAGAAAAGGCTTCAGTACCATATACCAATACATACCCTGCGGCAGATTATACAGAAGACCGAAGAGTACAATCTGCCATATGCCTGGCGTATGTGGACTATGAGAAAGCCTTTGATTCCGTCGAAATTTGGGCGGTGCTGCTGTCCCTTCAGCGATGCCAAGTTGACAGTCGGTATATCGAAGTGCTGAAGTGTTTGTACAGTAGGGCTACGATGGCTATCCGAGTACAGAACCAGAGTTCGAAACTGAGATTAAATAGAGAGTATCCAACTGCAGAGAGGTGTAAGGCACGGTGACGTTATATCCCCGAAACTCTTCTCCGCTGCGTTGGAAGATGTTTTCAAGCTACTGGACTGGAAAGGATCCGGTATTAAAATTAATGGCGAGTACATCACTCATCTTAGATTTGCCGACGATATAGTCCTTATGGCAGAATCGCTAGAGGACCTAAGCACTATGCTCAATGACCTCAATAGTGTCTCCCAACGGATAGGTCTTAAGATGAACATGGACAAAACAAAGATCATGTTTAATGTCCATGTCACACATATGCCGGTAGTAGTTGGGAGAACTATGCTCGAATTTGTCGACGAGTACCTTTACCTGGGACAAATAGTCCGACTAGGTAAGTCCAACTTCGACCGAGAGGTCAATCGACGGATTCAACTCGGCTGGGCAGCGTTCCGAAAATTACGACACATCTTCTCGTCAGGTATACCTCAATCTCTGAAAACTAAATTGTGCAACCAGTGCGTGTTGCCAGTGATGACTTACGGATCTGAGACGTGGTCCTGCACTGCTGGCCGTATGAGGACGCTCAAGGTCGCTCAGCGAGCTATGGAGAGGGCTATGCTCGGAGTTTCTCTGCGTGATAGACTCAGAAATGAGGATATCCGCAGCAAAACTAGAGTGACCGTTATAGCCTAACGGATTAGTAAGCTGAAGTGGCAATGGGCCGGTCATATAGCCCGAAGAACCGATAACCAATGGGGAAGAAAGTTCTCGAGTGGCAGCCTCTTACCGGTAGGCGTAGTGTAGGGCGACCCCCCAAAAGATCGAGTGACGACCTGGTAGGACATGCAGGAATTAGATGGATGCAGGTGGCTCAGGTCCGTGCTTTGTGGCATTACTTGGGGGAGGCCTACGTTCAGCAGTGGACTTGTGAAGGGCTGTAATGATGATGGTGAATGAAAAATTGAAGTATCTGCCTGTTATTTCGAAATGACTGTCTTATAAAATAAAAGCTCCTGATTACCTTAATATTTGCAAAAACTTAGCTGATGAAATTATTAATAGTAGTCCTTCTTATCTCCTTTCAGAAGATCAGAACTCTTTCTTTCCTTTTTCTTTTGTTTTGCACGAAGTACAATATGATGAAGTTGACAGAATTATTAATAGACTTCGTTCTGATAGCGCTACAGGATGTGATGGTATTCCTACATCGATCATTAAGGCTTGTAAAAGTACTTTTACCCCCCTTATGACCTATATATGTAACCTGGCAATTCAAACGGGCAAATTCCCTGACCTTCTTAAGAGGGCACTAGTTCATCCAGTATATAAGGGAGGTAAACGGGATATTGTAAATAACTACAGGCCAATATCTGTGCTTCCAGTTTTTTCTAAAATATTAGAAAAGGTGCTTAATTCACGTCTTGTGAAATTTCTCGATAAATATACCTTAATAGCTGATAATCAATTTGGCTTTCGTTCTGGAAAATCAACAGAAGATGCTGTAATAACTTTTACTGAAACGGTTGTTAAGAACTTGGACAAAAAATCCAAATGCCTAGCGGTCTTTCTAGATCTTTCAAAGGCTTTTGACACAGTCTCAGTTCCAGTCTTACTCGACAAAATGGTAAGAATAGGAGTAAGAGGCATAGCTCTGAAATATTTAAAGA